AAACGTCGAAGCGGCATAGGCGTTCAGGAAGTTTAAGCAGCTGCGAGAGATTGAAGAAATCGAAAATTAGTTTTTTGAACTTATAGAAGGTATATTATATGGGCTTGAAATCATTGATTAGGCTGAAACTTACGTAAGTACTAGAAATATATGATTACATTGTACTTAATACTTTAAACGTATTTTTCTCGAAGCTATATCTTTCAAACTAGCTCCCATGGTTTCAAACAAATTAATGAATCCATCTTTTTAGCTACATATTTCAAGTACCTCTTTCTATCGTTGAAAGCACCGAAATTAAAAGATATGAATTGTTCATTTGATTTCTAACATAGATTTAAAAAATTTTAGCAAGTTTTTTAGTGCTATTTTTTTATATGCATTATAATTATTTAAAACATAATTCTTTTTTTATAATTCTGCTTTCAATGATAATTGAACATCTGTAGATTAATAATTTTATTCGATATTTCATTTCAGATGACTCTGATCGAGACTTTATGATAGCCATGAGACGATGCGCGTTTGGACACGTCCCGTGTTTATTGTTATAATTACCATAATTTTCATTAAGTATTTTATATTGATTAATTTTAAGTATTTTTTAATTTGAAAAAATTCCTGAGTCTTAATAAAATATGTACTATTATGTGTATAAAATTTTAAATCAATCACCTGCATAATTTCCGTTAAAAAAATTCATAAAAATAACCTTTTTAGTCCGCGAAAAAAACTGTTCCCTTACGAATATTTGCTTACTATTTTTTTTTTTTTAAGTAAAAACCAAACCAATATTAAATGGCATAAGCGTTTAAAGTAACTTATTACGATATTATTTTGAACAAAAAAGTTTTTAATTAATACAACGCTTTTTTATTACAGATTTTCAATGGAATTTAATATTTAAAGAATCATAAGGAATTTGTAAAAAAAATATGTCCACAAAGAAAGAAAACGATAACCATTTTACAATAACAGTTCATATTTTCTCGACGCTGAAATATAAAAACGCCCCAAGTGATTCCTGGGTTAAGTGTGATGTTGATCATGAGCCACGATACGTGGTATATCCGAAAGGATTCAGCAGCAGAGGAATGTGATAATGCTCGTTGGGATGTTGCACGTCGAACATCACGTCAATCATCGGATACATAAAAGCGGTTGCGATTCGCTTGAAATAATCGTTCACCCGAAACTCAATCTTGAATCTGCCAGACACGGGATTCTCTTGTATGTCTTGCAACAGATCCCCGCAGCGTCCATTCGAATCTGTCGTGCTATGAAAAAAAATTGAAAATTAATAGTAATGAATAAAAAATACAGTCAATACTTATCCCCGCTTAACAATCTCAATATTGTATAGGCTCTAACGAAATAAAAAATAATTAAAAGCATCTGAGAATCAACGCTAGTTATAGTTGCGTATAAAAATTTATTATTATCAGTTACAAATTGAAATACGTTTCGATCCGCGCGTTTAGAGTCCTCCTCAGTAATAAAAGTCTTTAACATATAGTGAGCTTTCTACATTACGTGGAAAACCGTTGTTACGTGAAAAAACATAAAAATCGATGTCAGCCGTTAGGTAGAAGCAATCATATACAAAAGTATTTTAATACATATCCAGCCCTGTATATGTTATATACATATATATACATGCGGAGTATGCTTTCCTTTTTCAAAAGAAATTCTTACAAATAAAACATTTATACATATAAAAAAATATGAGACAATGCAAAACGTACCTTTCTTTCAGAAAAATCCACTTGTTATTTTCAAACTTATAGAGACACACAAACAAGCCATTAGCAGGCTGACCTCTGCTAGTATCCAAAACATGCGTAGTAATACTTAATTTTTCCTTTCGATTTACAGAAGTACTCATCTATCGTATAAAAAAAAACACAAAAAACATAAACGCAAATTACACAATAAACTGCAAGAGAAATTCATAACTTCATTTTCGTTTTTAACTTTGGATTTCTATATCACATTATAGACTAGCGATAATATATTTTGTATTATGCTTAAATAATAATTTGAATAATCTATTTGAAAAACGATTAAAGATTGACAATTATAAGTAGAAATTAGATTGACAAGAATAAATGAAATAAGAGAAATAATACTATTTTTGATCGAAGCGTTTCTTATTGTTTAGAATAGAAAGCCTATTTGAGCCAGCACAGGACGTACAGGTGCAAATTTCATTTATTTAAAAAGATATATAATGTAAACGTTTCGTTTTGTTTCATAAATGTTTGGATCCTCAGTGCAAATGAGTCGAACACTAATGAATACAAAACATTAATAATCCGTTAAATACAATTGTGATATGTTTTAATCGCAAAGCAAACCATTTTTAAGTTGGATCAAACGGGAATGCATTGTTCAACTAACTTCTTGAACATTAAATTATCCGATTTGCTGAATAAAACAATAAATTAACCGAAACGAATATTTTTCAAAAAACATAGGTCTTATAAATGAAAGTGTAACTTACATGGGAATTGGGATCACTACGTAGAACGAACAATATTAAGCATTATGACCAATAATATTAAACTGTCTGGTTTACTATGTGTTATAAATTAAATATGCATCTGAGTAGTCACTTCAATAAAATTAGAAACTTACATGAAATAACAAGAATGTCATTTGACCTGAGAAGATCGTTTTTTAAATTGTGACTCATGGTTTCCTCTTTTTCGTAGGTTTTCTCTCTCGATATAAGTCATAGATGAGAATATTATCCTTTTTAATCAAACAAACATCTAAAAAATTTATTGAATTGCCTCCTAACTTTATGATAAATTTTAGTCTAGGATAGTAGGAATTAAAAAGGACCAAAAGCTCATCTTTGTAAGAATTGTCAAGAGCAAGAACAATATCGTCCACGTATCTTACATAAAAAGATAGAGCGATAAAGTTTTTTTTATTTTAACGAACACGACTCCAAGTTTTGCATCACAATATTAGCCGCTATGGGGGAAAGTGATGAACTCGCTGGGTACACCGAGTCTATTTGTAAAACTTATTATTAAAAATAAAAAAATATATAGTGAAGTACTAGATTTACCGCTTTAAAAAAATTCCATCTTTGTGATGTCAGTATTCTGCTCAATATTAAGGGACCATCTCTTTGATTAACCTTCCAAAACTAAATCAATCGGTATATCAGTAAAAAGTAAAATTACGTCAAGAGATAAAAATGAAGCATTCTCCGAAATTGTCAAATTAGAAATATTTTTTGTCAGTTATAAACTGTTACTCATTAAGCTTTCTGTAGACGTGGTAGACTTTTACTTTATTAAAAAAAAAAAAACTAAATCATGAAAGGGATTCCCAACAAACGAGAAGCTAACGACATGAAAAGGATATCCAACTTTATGTATTTTTAGTAAACCGTATGCACGAGATAAAATTGGATTTGTAAAATTTAAATACTTGTAACAAAAATCCAATATAAATCCATAATGCTTCCAATTTTTAAGTGCCTTGAACTTAGCGATCACCTTGTTCACAATTGTTTTAAAATCGTATACATTTCAGAGTCTGCAAACGACTCCATTTTCTATGTACAATCTATTTTGTCCAAAGTTACTACTATTGTCTTTATCGGCATGTGTGAACAAAATTTGTGAATTATTAAAACCAATGTTTTAATCTATTTTGGTGGAAAGCCACATTATCACCCGTTTTTCTTCGAGCCATTATGCTGTGTCGCCACATTTTTATAAATAATATCCTGAGTAATAAATGTTTCGTAACTTTAAAATCGATTGAACAATATTTTGAAGAACGTAATTGTTAAGTTTTAATTTAAATATCGATTATTAATTTAAAAAAAGTTATTGTATAATATATAAATGTAGTGCCACCTTCTCCTCTATTATCTTGCATTGTAATCTTGAACTTAAAATTTTTGTTATTTTATTTCAGATTCAAAAAATTAACGATTACGTTTCAAAATAAATCGAATAAGTGCACAGTTTATAAAATTGATATATTTGCAAAAATTTACATATAAATATTATTAAATATTTAAGATTCGCTTCGAATAAAAAAATGAGATTATTTTTCTTATTTGATGAAAGATAAATTTAGATATCAATGTAATTTTTTGTTAAATATATAAATTCCTGTAGATTCTACATTTTTTAGTTTTTTTAAAGCCTACCCAATATATATATATATTATATATTAATATGTTTTTCGTATTGTGCATTACATTTTTGAATAATTTGAGGAAACGGTCTGATCTACTTCACTGTCACCACACTTAGTATTCACGAATATAACTAACTTACTACGTTCGAACATATGCAGCTTTCAAGACCGTCTAAATATAGATAAAATGTATCAAAGAGGTCAAGGAATGTGAGCAATGCGATTGAAAGATTGATACTTATCTCTAGTATACATTCATTAAAATTTAATGTTTGTTTAAAAAAATACAATACGTATAATATGCACATATAATATTCAAGCGAAAATAATGTATCAATACAATATTTATAAGAACAAAATTCTGTGATACGCGAGAATAAAAACCAAATAAAATATTGACATTTACTTACAAAAAAACTCTCGAAAACTAACGCATTTTCATAGTTATAGTTTTGTTCAAAAAATTATTTCAATGAATTCGTCACTGAAACTTAGCTTATATTAAAAATAATTCTTAACTGCATCATCGTACTTTACACATATAATGTAACAATCTTAACAGCTATTTATGTAAATACATTTTGTCGATTATGCAATACATTTTATCTGCAAAAGCATTAAAAATATTTTATTATTTCATTTATATTTTGACTATAATTATTGTTTATAGTATAATTTAATATAATTATATACAGAGTGTAACTAAAATAAGATAACAAACTTCAGCGCAGAGTTCCCCGCACTAAAACATGAAAAAAAGTTCATATGAACAAATGTCCGCAAACTCACTGTTAGTGAGATACAGTTCAAAATATTTATTAATAGGGGAGAATAAAAAAGTAATAGTTATTATTATTTAATATTATTTATGTTCAATTTTTAATTACAGTAAATGTTTGAAGTGTCTTCCATTTGATTCAATACACGCTTGGACACATTGGATCATGGATTGTCGCACTCTTTCAAAGATCCCGAAGCAATTGCGAATGGTATTACAAGCATCAAAGATGAGTTGGCGTAGCATATCTTCATTGACGATTGAAATTTCATAAACTAAGAATTTCAAAAGTCTCTGCAGATAAAAATCTGGAGGATTTAGATCGGCGGCTAGCGAACATAATATTTAAACATTTTGAGCTATGTCTCAGTAATAGTGGATTTGCGGACATATGTTCATATAAATTTTTTTATATTCTAATGTAAGGGCACGGCTCTGAAGTTTGTTACATTATTTTAGTTACACTATGTATATGGTATATGTATATGATATATGCATGTTATGTATTTTGAACACATATTCAATACATATACTAATTTATTTAATTCTCTCTCTCTCTCTCTCTCTCTCTCTCTCTCTCTGTCTGTCTGTCTGTCTCTCTCTACAATATGAAAATAATAAAATACACTCGCAGTTTCATCTTCATAAAAATTGTGAAGTATTTCTTCGCAACTATATCTATCACGAAACAATTTATTCAATAGCACATCTTACTTACGTGCCACGATAGGTTGTGTAACCAAATGGACTTAATAAAAGAGGTATGTGATAGTGAGCTGTTGGTTTTTTCACATCAAATACAATTTCGATGAACGGAAACATGGTATCTATTCTTTTCAGTGTAAAATATTTATCGACATCAAAATGAAGCTTATAACGACCGATCGTACCTTTTATCTTTTCCATCAAATCGTCACAATGACCCTCTACATTTGTACTACTGAAAAAAAAATTTTTGTTACCACATTTATATTCTTAACATTTTTCAAAAAAGAGTACAATAGCAACAAATATACAGATATTAATCTTAAAGTTATAAATTTTATTTCTTTATTTGTATCTGTTGTCTTTTCTTGTTTCGTGTGCCATTAAAAGTATACATCAAATAATTATATAAAATTAATATCTTAATAACAAGAAATATTTGTATTAAAATTACCATTGTTAAAATTAAAAACAAAATTTTATAAAATTTAAATACTTAAGGGGATGCTGGCATCGCGTTGTTTGTTTTATCAATCGAACGCAATAATTTTTATATTAATTTTTCATATGTATTACTTTTACAGATTTGAAAATTCTTCACCAGAATTAAAATTTAGACGATAACGCAATCTGGATTACACGATTTCATGAAAACAAAAAAATTCGAAAATTACAATTTTATTGCAAATTATAATTTTTATTGCAAACTTCTAGCATCGACTCATAACAATATATACTTTTATAAAAAAATTTATACTTTATATGTATAAAACAAGTTTTGTGCGGACTAGGGACTACACGGAAGAACAATACTGTACTTTTAGAAGTATGCCTAGGAACTTTAGTATAAAAAACAAAACTGTATAAAAATTGTATAAATTATTATTATATTACACAAATTATTATATTACTATTACAATTCTGGGATTACATTATGAAAGTCCGAAAAATCAATTCAGCGCGCAATTTTCATGGTGACATACGTAGTATTAAATTATTTAAGCACTTAAGCTCCAGCTTCAATCATTAAAGGCTTTTATTTCCTATCGGTTGTATAAAAATTGTATGTCTCGTGTGCCAGCGATATTGATGTATAGTAATATATAATGATTTGCTGATGTTTCGTAAATATGTGTAAATCGGTAAAACAACAATCCCGTCACTGTTCGGCTGTCATGTCAGTATCCCCTTAATAAAAAATCGATAAATCTTTTGCCTCAAATTATAAAATCTATATTAAAAAGAAAATAAAAGTAATATAGTAATGATTAATTATAAAAACACGTACTTTTCATTCAAGAATGTCCATTTACCATCCATTAGTTTGTACAAGCTAACTTGTAACCCACTAATTGGAACTCCCTTGACATTATCCACAACATACGTAGAAATTCGCAATTTTCTCGATGTTTCTCTGGCTGGTTTCCCTAGCGATTTTCCGCTAATCTAGAATAAAGACGTCAATAACAGCCTATGTTCTGGACCACATAAAAAACGAACGAATAAAAAATTATACATTTTTTTTTACCTTCTTAGTCGACAATTTAGTATCAGCTGATTGTTGATTAACAGGCTGCTGGCTGGTGCTAGGAATAATCAATGATTGATCGATGTTGGAGTCTGGCTTTACTTGGATTTTGTTCTCTGATTCGTTTATGATTTTGTTTTGATCAGTCAGCATCAATGCTGTTGGGTTTCCCTTAAGCTTGGTCAGCACATACTGTGTGCCCGGTTGGAATGTACCGCCAGTTAATGTAAAAGTTTTATTACCGCACATTAGAGTGATGGTCTTTTGAGTATTCGGATTCGGCGCAATCGGCACATAATTCATCGTACTCTTAGTCGGCGTTATGCTTGTCGCGATATTTGTCTGATAAGCTGTACTCAATATCGGTAATGATGTAGTTACGAAATTATCTTTACTATTCTCCAGCTATAAAACAATATGTTTTCTATATATAGCTAATTATGATTTTATATATAAAAATATTCATATAATACAAATACTCAGCTAATAATTTTCAATATGAGATTTACGTATAATTTAACTAAATTTACGATTGATGTTTAATAGCAGTTTTTTAATGTTTATATTCTTCTATCATTCAGAAAAGTAAATTACTCACAAGAACTTTTCCATTCTTGGTGGCTTTGATTACCGTTTTTTTATTTTCGCGTGGTTTTGATGTCTTCTGGACATTATCCTCTAATTCAGGTAAAACAGATATATCATTGTTAGTCGATTCCATCACCATCTCCACCTGCACGTCCTCCTCATCCTCGACTTCTTCCTCAAGATATTCGTTGTGAACATGGGCCATCGCCTTTATTAAAGGATCTTGATATTTTTCCTACATCATGAAAAATTAGTATCACGAAAAATTATAACGATCGAAAAATCGACAGATGTCAAACTATAAAATTAATATTTTTTATTGCACGCACACATAATCTGTTGCATAAATTACCTCGGATAATTTGATCTTCTTTATTACAGATATAGAATCCTCATTGGATTGATCACTACTATCCATATCCTTTTCTTCTTCTTCTTCTTCTTCTTCTTCCTGTTCAATATTGACTTCAATTTTTTCCTTTGCATCTTCTATCTTCATTGAGTCATCCTCGTCCGTATCTAATCTTTCAACAACATATTCGATATCGTCATCATGATCCTCACCTAGCTCCGCTTGAGAAGAATCATATGTCTAAATAAAAATTTACACATATACATATGCAAATTAGTAAACAATAATTCTAATCAGAGTTAAATATAAGATGAACGCATGTTATTAAAATTAGCATAATACAGTAATTATAGATATTTCGATTCACATTTTAGAGTCCTTCTCAGTACAACAAAGGGGAATTGAAATATAATAATAAAGTTCAATACTAAATAGTCTTCAAACAAAATGCAATATTTAAGGCCTGTTCTGCAATAGAGTCGTAAGTGGTAAACCATAAGAAATTAACTAATCATAGTTTGATTATTCTTCTCACACTTAACTGTGATTGGCCAATTTCTTACAGCTTACGATTTGCGACTCTATTGTAGAATAGGCATAAGAAAGCAATCTGCGACGAGATGTAGTATTGTGTAAAATGAATTCGTATGCTGTGTGTTATGTCTAAGCGCTTCTTCATTGAATTTCCAAATTGATTGAGAAATTATAAAATATGAAATTGTTAAAATAAACGTACATTAAAAAAATAAATATATAAAATGAGGCTCGTAAGAATCTATCAATAAAAAATAAAAAAGCCCATCAGAGCCTACATCTGCTGTTCGGATGCACAGAAAACACTTTATTCTCGTGTGAGTATAATAAAACAAATCAAATATAAACGTTTCAACCTTTCAATTTGAGTCCTTATCAATATAAAATATAAATCTAAATTACATAATTAACGCAAATTCCAAAATGGTGATTCTCGACAATTTAGCTCGTTCTTCTTTATCCGAATGCCAAATTAGCTATGTAAAGAATAGCCAAATGATTATCAAAAATATTAACTTATACAATAATAATATAAACACTTACATACAATAAAAACGGAATCAACTGTATTGCGTCAAAAAGTATAATCACACCGTTCATCAAATTGTCAGATTTACTATGTAGTCATTCAAATGAAAAAACGAAAAACGAATAATTAGAGAATTATTAAAATAATTAATTTGAATTTTAATTTTATTAACTTACATGTAAGCGTTTCTTAAGACTCGACGTAAAGATCTTGTGGTGTCGACAGTTAGAGATAAAATGAGAGTCAAAATAATAAAATTATACGTAGTTATTGAAATAAAAATAAAAATAAAAATAAGAACAAAGGGGGAAAACAACGTCACGATTCCGCAAACAAATCTAAATATAGTGGGTCTAAAGAATACGTATCATTCTGTAAATTCAAATTCTGTTTCTGTTGTTTTATATGGATCATTTCCGAAATCAATCTTTTATTGAGCACCCTTTCCATCTAATATCTTGGCATTTTTCCAATCAAAATGCCGATGACTAATTCTGTGTTCTGTTATTACGGAATGCTGTGTAGTGTTCCAATTTATGTAATTTCCATGTTCATTTATGCGTGTCTTCAAACATCTACCTGTTTGACCCACATATGATGCTTCACAATCTCGACAATCAATTTTATTTATATATATATAACGTCTGTATGAGATAGCTTGGGACGAACATCTTTATGACCCCTCTGAGATTACTAATTCCCCTATATGCCATTCGTATTAAGGAATCATTTTTAAAAAAAATTTTTGATCTTTTCTGATAAAAATGGTATAAAGGGAATTGTAAAAAATTTGTGATTGATTTTATCTTCGTTATTATTCGTTGTCTTGTCTTTAGATATGTGCTACACTGGTCATTCCTTTGTTTAAATTTTTTTGACAACCTATTTTTTATTTCTGAGAATATGAGTTTCAAAGGATATCCATTGTTTAAAAGAATTTTAATTATTAATTCGAAATTCTCTTGATGGATTACATTTTATATTGATAAGGACCTAAATTGAGGTTGAAAAGGTTTATATTTGATTCGTTTTGTTACATTCACACGAGAATAAAGTGTTTTCTGTGTATCCGAACAACAGATGTAAGCTCTGATGGGCTTTTTTATTTTTTACTGTTAAAAAAAATATTAGAGAAATAAAATCTGTCAAAAAGATGTAGGACTAACGCCTAGACAAGTCGATTGGAACGGATAAGATGTTCAACCTCATAAATCAAAGAAAATCAAGATAAAATCATGATATATATTATGGCGATTATATTGCCACGCTCCGGAGAGCCGAATGTATACGCAGTACACAGATACGCAAAGTATACAAATACGAAGATTTTATCTGTCCACACGGCCAGTCGTTCGCGGAAATATATGGTAGACAATGGGCGCATTCAGCGGACTCAATAGTTGAGTGAGCGCTCGCTGTTATTGGTGTATTCTTTTAGCTAATCCAATCAGAATTTTAGAATTAGAAGAATACACCAATAACAGTCCGCCCAATGGATACAGGCTTCTTAAACATATTAATTCTTTGTGTTGATTATCTGTTTATATTTCTTCGTTTACATTTAAAGGGAGCAGAATTGAAGCGCATTTTGTATCGGTGTGCAGAGAATTATAATTTAATATGTAATCGGTAATTATATGCAATAATCCGACATGAAACAGTTACAATAATCTGTCTAAAATTTAACTGATTATTCAAAATTAAGGACACAGGTCAGTGATAAACATATTTTGTATGCGGAGAATATTCGCAAAAGATGCGAGCGATTGAACGTGAAAACGTGACCGCCTGGTAGGCGCGCGCTAAGCGCTATAATTCACGCATCTACCAAGCAATCTCTACACATCGCGCAACAAGCGACCACGACCAATAGACATAAGCCCGTATTCAAAATTCGCGCTTTTATCTCTGAAATTCTATAATATATATACGTGACGTAAAGTACAGTATATTAGCGCGTTAACATCGTTGTAAGCGCGTTCTGAGTACGAGTCATATAGACCGCGTTCAGCACTCAGCTGTTGCGGAGCGGATCCGTGAGCGCTCGCTGCTATTGGTGTATTCTTTAGAATATTTTAGATCATCTCCAATAGTAGTGAGCGCTCACAGATCTCCTCCGCAACAGTTGAGTCTGCTGAACGTGGCCATAGTTAGCGATAGTCCGCGCGAATACGTGCTTGCTCAGATATTTAGAAATTAATATCTTCTAAAGAGTATTGCGAAAATTGCAATGGTAGAGTACTTTTCGACTCAGTTTAGTCTGTTCTACTCGAACACGAAATATTTCGCGGTTATTCTGGGACATTCTATACAGAATCTGTATTTCTTTTTTTTTTTTTGAATAATAGATACATAATTTTTAAATTAACAAAAGATTTATACTGACCTCAACTTCTTCCATAAGTCCTATTTCAGGTGCATCGGCATCTGACTTTTGTATCTGTTTCTGTTCCAATTGATATGTCAAGGCCGAGCGCTGATGCTTCATTGTGCACGTATGTTTCAGTAGCGACAAACGATGTGCGTGTAAATTCTTTCTGCAATATAGGCAGTAAGCACGGGTCGGTTGATTGGAAACTGAAGTCAACCATCCTGTTTATAAAAATATTTTAAAAACATTAATATCTTTCAAACACTAAGTATAAGCGTATTCAGGCCTATGACGGTCAAAGCTAGATCTTTTTTGCCTAAATAATTCCCAGTGAATTATCTATATCCTATATATGTACATGCATATATACCATATTTTTGTAGTTATTCAAACTGCGCGCCGAAATTTTTCCGGACTTTATCTAACGCAATTAAACTATTGCAATAATATCACAAGTTAAATTAAATTGACAATGTGCTGAAAACCTTAAATTAATTTATTAATATCTTTCAAAGAAATGTCAAATAGTACAAGACTCTTAATTCTTCAAACGACAATAAAAGAAATACAGGGCATATAAGAGTCAACGTAATTACATACAAAAATGCCAAAATTATAATATATAAAATATAAAATGTATAAATTCTATTAATAATGCATAGTGAAACCCATTAAATTACATTACATTACATTACATTACATTACATTACATGTTTAAAATTATTATTAAAATTTGATCGTGACAGCCTTACCGTTAATACATCTTTCAAGGAATTCTTTCTAGAAGATTCGATCTATACTGATTATCAAATTTTAATATAGTGACTGTGTATTTTGTGTGTATTATTATCTGACTGGTATATTACCTCTTATATTTTACACGAATTTATGATGGATTTGACGATGTATATATACTTAAAAAAGGATAAATGCGATCATGTTGAATATCATGAAATTCCGAACAATCGGTCAGCAAATCGTTTGCAAGCAATTCATGGTCTCCGTGGAGCATTCATCAATATAGCTATATAATTTGGATATCTCTCTTCGAATCACGATTTATCTATGACGATGGAAATGAATTTTAAGGTTGTAATTTCTTTTATCTGAAGAAGGCTCAATCCAAGAGCCGAAACATGTAATGTAATGTAATGTAATGTAATGTAATGTAATTTAATGGGTTTCACTATGTGTTATTAATAGAATTTATACATTTTATATTTTATATATTATAATTTTGGCATTTTATGTTATTACGTTGACTCTTATATGCTCTATATTTCTTTGTATTAATATATCTTTTACTTAAATAAACTCTATATCAAAGTATTTGTTTAAACTATTACTTTACCGAAGATTGAAGATTGTAAATTAAAGTTCAGAATTCAACCAATCAGAACAAACGACTTATTAATTAATCGAATCTAGAAATATTAATCGAATGCTTCATTCGAGTCTGAAATATAATCAAATAGCTCATTAATCAAAATAAAAACCATCAGGAAAAAACTCAATTATTTCTATAAAAATCTTCGAAATTCGATTAATCGAAGCAACACCGCTCATACCACTGACGAGACACTATTAAGGGGATGCTAAACCGATTACCTAAGTCGATCAAGGTTGATAGTACAGACTTTTTTAATTCCAAATTCGATAATAGTGGTGACATCTTTGATTTAGTTTTTACATTATATTATATATAAGAAAAAAAGACATAGAAAATGAACTGCGCGATCCGTATCTAAGTAATGTATCAAATGTGGTCGACAATAATGTGTGTGAGAGAGAAGGACCGTGGGAGACGGCCAATCTCCCTCTCATTCTCTCTCCTATCACACCATTGAATGGAAAGAGATAGAAATGGCCGTCTGCCGCGGTCCCTCTCTCTCATCCCTATCATTTTGACACACGGATCGCGCAGTCCATTCTCTAGGTTTGTTCGCGTCGCACGCTCCAATATGCTCCTGTTCATTCCAACGTGCTCCAATACGTTCGCGTCACCGGAACCAATATGGCGATTAGATGTTCGCGTCACATTAGAGCATACTCCATGGATCAATTAAGAGCATGCTCTATTTGCTTCACCTCAGAAGGTGGTGCGGTTGGGACATGTTACGCACGCATGCGTAATGATTGAGAATGTGTAGTGTTGAGAGAAGTATTTCATGGTTCTTACAGATATCTTAACCTATTTAGTTCTGTAGTCAACTTTAACGAGAGTGGCGCTCAATTTAATGATTAATCTCGGTCCATGGGGCAGAGCGACGCTTTTTTTCTGGAGGACGCTTGTCCCAACTTCTCCTAAATCCGTTCATGTCACCGAGCGTTGGGGCACATGAATCCAACTGCTCCAACCGCCATCTTACCGGTGATCCAAGTGCTCTCTGGGTTAATTTGGAGTAAGCGACGCGAACAAACCTTCTGTGTCTTTGATAATATATAATATATATCATTCTGTCATAGGGCCTGCGCACAATAGAGGAACAAGAATTAGATATTAAGAAACTGATTACATCGGAATACACGATTTCTGATAGGTTGAAATCTTAATATCTAATTCCTGTTCCTCTATTGTGCGCAGGTCCTTACTCAAACGCATACATCTGTTCTTATCTAACATATGCCAGCAACATCTATCGCAAGACCGCGTAACTACTGCTACACGGAATTTCAGCTCTGTTGACAGTCCCAGTCTTTGCAAAGCACCTGTATACACGTATTTTCTATTCGGTGGGGAAATATTTCTTTTCTAGACTTTCAATCTTAGTTCTACAAACTCGATATCGTTCGTTTCAATAATGTGACCTCAGCTGCACGCTTATTTTCAAGATATGAACTCTTATATCAAGCAAATATATACGAGCCAAAAGCGAATTTTTAACGAATTTTAAACTTTTTTTCGATTTTCTTATGACATCCAGTGCAGCTGAGGTCCTGTTTGTGCGTACTTTAAGTAATAATACTTTTGCAATCCGTACATCCAATACGGAGATTTTTCACCGAATGGAAATGTGGTAAAACAGGAGGCTTTAGCATCG